GAGCCTTTGGTTCGGTCCTCAGCTCAGAAAAAAAAAGAAAGAAAGAAAGAAAGAAAGAAAGAAAGAAAGAAAGAAAGAAAGAAAGAAAGAAAGAAAGAAAGAAAGAAAGAAAGACTGCAGGTGAGAATTGACCTCCTGAGGGTCCATACCCCTCCCTCAGCTGTTCCGTCCACTTCTCAGGTGCTGCCGGACTCGTGACAACTGCCTTGCTCAGGTCTATAGCCTGGAAAACTGTGGATCCCTCATAAGGAACCCCTACATCAGCCCCTATGCATTCTCGTACTCCGGGAATGAGATCACCTGCAGTGGTAGGTCTACACTCCAGGATCTCTGGACTCTGCTTTCTCCTGGGCATCTTTGTAAGGGGCACAGAAGTGACAAGGACAGCCACCATGTAGTGGTCATTTCCTTCACCCCATTTGACATCACAACAGCCTTATCAGATAGACAGTAAAATATAGATGAGGTCTGAAGCGTTAATCTAATTAATCCTTTTCAATAAAAGAAATCAGGAGTCACATATTGGGGCAAGAGATCAGAGAACAGGGAGCTATCACCAGTTGCTTCCTACCTCCTCCGTTTCTTCTTTCAAAAGGCTGAGATCCTCTCTCAGCCGCACCTTACCACTTCCTGTCTCCACTCTGTCTACAGTCCTCCAAACCTCTATGGTTAGCTAGTGGCTATCTCTGCCCTCTGACTCTAAGCAAGCTTTATTTGTCAGAACACAATCAAAATATCACACATTCCCCCATTTTTTCTAAACAAAAAACAAAGGTTTTTTAACCAACAATAAAACTATATACAATAAATAAAATTGCTATATACAAACACACAGGCAATAATTACGTTAACAATGTGTATTCCATTTCCATTTGCCAAATTGAGAGAAAATACTCCATTATCTATCTTATCTTGGTAAGTCCAAAGCGTTGTACCTAATCCATTTTCTACCCTAACTATCTTTTTATGTCTTTCAACTTCATGCACTTTACACCTCTTTTGTGAGGTGAATTTGTTGACAAGAAAAACTATGACTATCTAGTCTTAAACTTCATCAAAGACCTGAGAAGGAAATATTACCTGAGTAACAGGAAGTGCAGAGCAAATAGCTAAGAAATGACGGAAACAGTCCCCCGAGGTTCCTCTGTAACCTTGGGACGTCCTTCTTCAGCCTACAGGCCTAGAACATCTGACAGACTTTTCTGTGAAGCAGGACTTTTAAAGGACTGTCCCACCTTGTCTTTATAAAGGTTGGCAGTCACTTTCTTTTGTGTCCTTCTTGTCCATTTTGGACAGCATGCTGTCAGCAGTCGAGGCAAAGGCAGTTTCTGATCTAGTGGCTAAGCTTTGCCATGAAGAAAGTAAACTCCATGTGGGGTTTCTTCAATGTCCACCATCTTCTCTGAAGTAGGTTGGTATGGCCGGGAGCAGATGTCTCATTTGCACAAAAAGAAAAAAGAGCCTTATGTTATTAAAACATCTTAAATGCCATATTCTGTAGATCTCTGAAGTGTTTGAAGACCACCTGTCTATCTAAAATATATCTCTGTTTGACCTTGAAAACATACCTAACATGACTACAAGTTTGATTGTAATAGGTGACTAACTACTAACCTGTATTTCTTTATTATCCTAAATAGTTTAAAATAATAAGTTTCAAGGACTAGAAATTTACATTACATTGTTAAGTGAACTGTATAGGTACAATACTTTGAACAAGAGTAGAAATGTATTACAGTATATTCTAACAAAAATAATCTTAAATTTGTATCAATATATGAAAATACCTTAAACAAGAGTAGAAACATATATAGTATAACAAAAATAATATCAAATTTGTATCAATATACAAAAATCCATACCAATGTAAAATATTTAAGGCTAGTAGTTGTTTTTTAGGTTTAAAAGTAGACTCAATAATCTACATTTTTATTCTATCATTTCTATATCCTCCCTTTTACTTTTTAGAACAAGATTCCTGAATCTAATTTCCTTCCTTTGTTCAGCTTTTTTCCTGACCATTACCAATAAAAACTTGTAACCAACCCCCCTAAATAATGACAAATATCCATAACCCACTGAATGAACAAAATTCACCCATCCCACCTCTTTACAATGTAGGTGTCATATTATAAAAATTACTCCCTATTGTTTGGGGGCAATAGCATCTTTAGGGGGCCCCTAAAAATTGGGATAATTGTTAAGTCCTGGGAGTGCTGGCTATATCATTTTTGTCTAGTCTCTGTATAATGGGAAAATCAGGGCTTGTCTCAGGTTATGTCTAGAGTAGTCTGTGAGGCTGGACCATTTCAACTAGCCACCTTGAAATTGTCCTGAGCAATTTTTAGTTCAAAGCTGATCTTTGGGTAGTGTTTGTCAGCTTAGTGGTGTTACCATAATGCAGGTGGAATTGTCATTGTGGGACCCCATCCTACTTTTGGAGACATCAAAGGTCACTCTTTTTTTTTTTTTTTTTTTTTTTTTGGTTTTTTGAGACAGGGTTTCTCTGCGTAGCTTTGTGCCTTTCCTGGAGCTCACTTGGTAGTCCAGGCTGGCCTCAAACTCGCAGAGATCCACCTGGTTCTGCCTCCCGAGTGCTGGGATTAAAGGCGTGCGCCACCACCGCCCGGCAAAGGTCACTCTTAGGCATGGTAATGGTAATTTTTCAGAGGTCAAAGGCCGTTGTTCCACCCAGTCAGGTTGTCTGTTAACCATTTGAAAGTTAGGGCTGTTGGTATTTTTGAAAGATCAGCAGCTGTTGTGCCCTGTTTATGAACAACCTGAATGGTCAGTGACTGTTCTTCATAGTACCTTTTCATATTTGTCCCAGAAACATATGTTAGTTTATGGTTTGTTTATGAGATTGGATGAATGTTAATCTGGGTATTCCATTGCTGTAACAAATCACATCTCCATAAATTAATTGCCTTGTTAGCCACATATGGCTTTAATTTTCCTCTCTGTTCTTCTGGCTCTATACATTTGACCCATCTTATGCTTTGTTTTACATGACATAATGTTCCGATCCCTAAAAGGTGAACATTTTACTTCCTGAAGAGGCCAATTTGGATGCCAAGATTCTGGTGCAATTATTGTTACATCTGCACCCATGTCTACAAGACCCTCAATACAATGTTATTTATTCATATTTTTAACTTTGGTCTTTGATCATTTATAGAAGTTTGCCAAAATATTTGCTTTATGGTTTCTGCTGAAATTTTTGTTTTATCTTCTAAAGCTATTCTATCATCCAGAGCAGTATGCTTTTTTATAATAGGCATTAGGTCCTTAAATTGCTCTTGGGAAGAGTTTCTCCCATGATGGCATTTGGGAATGACTAAACCAAATCTGACATGGGGGCCTGTGATGGTCTCCCCAAGACTTTTCCCAATGGCAAAGGGTTATCTTGTTTGTACCTTGTTGATTTGCACTCATTGGTCCAATGTCTGCTTTTGCAGCACCTTCTGCATGCTCCAGAAGGCAGGGGCCGTCTGTTTGGATTATTCCTAGAAAAAAATATTGTGTCTAGGAATGCCTTACCTACAATCACTTTTTAGGTGACCTGTTTATCAAAATTAAAACATCTGACATTTTTCCCTTTCTCCAGCATTTGACATTTCAATTTTTCTTCAAGCCTTTGGAAATCACCTCTCCTATGCAAGCATCATCTTGGTTATGAGATTCAGTATTGATTGTATCTCAGATTCATTCCTCTGTGTGTGTTGGCCTTGCCTTTAAAGGCCTAATTACCTTTTTGTATTGTGAATTAGCCTTTTTAAAGGCAAAGATTCAATTATTATTTATCTGGCTTTTGGATTTGGTATCATTCTAATTATAGCTGAAGTCAATCCTTATTAAAAAAAATCAGTGAAATTTTCTTTTGGGCCCTGTATAACTTTAGTAAATGACCCAGTTCTTTTTCTGACTTCTTCAAATCTGTCTCAAGCATTCAGTGCTGCTGCATGGCATAGACCCAGGGTGTGGTCATCATATAGAGACTTTCTTTGTACATCAGCATAATCACCATCTCCAAGCTGTTGGTCTTGGGGAATTTCCATACCTCTATCCCTACTTCATTTTTCAATGGTCTTAGCCTCATCTTTTCACTAAGTCCTCCAATATAATTGAGGATCAGGTTACAATACTGTTGTAACCAAGTCTTTCTAGTCTTGTGGGATAATTCTCTTACTAGTTGACCAAGAATTTAACATCTGCCTCACAAAATGAGTATGCATATCATATGAGACTATTGCTTCCTTAAATTTCCTCAAATCTAACATTTCCACAGGAACAGTCAGCTCTTATATAGCCTTGGGGATACCTGTCATTTGGTAGTTGTTCCTGTTTGATAATCTTGGGCTGTTCTTTTCTAATTTCATAATGTAATGTTAAGATTGACTCTCCCTTAAACTCCCCTGTCTTTGTCTGAATATCTCTATGATCTGTTTTAATGAGTACTTCTAAGGCTTCTAACTTATCACTCAAAATTGCATTTTTTCTTTAGTAACTAGTTGTAGGGCTGCATATTATCAGCCAATTTCTCATTTTTGGCATTAATATCAACAAAAATTTTTAGGGATAAAACAAGAATTACCACCAGGTGGAGGTGGCGCACACCTTTAATCCCAGAACTCAGGAGGCAGAGCCAGGCCAGTATGAGCTACCAAGTCAGTTCTAAGAAAGGTGCAAAGCTACACAGAGAAACCCTGTCTCAAAAAACCAAAACAACAACAACAACAACAACAACAACAAAAAACCCCAAACCCCCAAGAATTACCAAACCAATAATGCTTATAATTAACGTTATGTAAATCACAACTAAGTTAATTATCCCCTTATTTAATTGTTCCAGTTTTAAACCATCCATTGTGGAACCACACAGAGACCTAACTCCCTTCATCATAATAGTGTTTCCCAATTTTTAAATGGGAAAAACTCTCTCTCTCTCTCTTTCTTTAACTAATTCTCCTTTTAGAAAGTCCCAGTTGTCTCACCAAATCTGCTGATGTTGACAATGGAGTGTGAGGCTAAGATTGCTGTGCAGCACATCTGGGCAGAGAACACAGGTGGTGCACAGCCTGGCCGAGAACAGCTGCCGCTGCCCCTGATCAGATGTAAAGAGCCTGAGGACAGGGTCCAGGGGAAGTCCACAACCCACAGGAAAAAGTAGCCAAAGATCCAGAAGCCTGAAAGGAAGATACAAGGGAACGTACAAAAGCAGCATGCATGATTGGCAGGAAGTGAAAACAGAGTTGCCTGAAGGCAGAGCTGTCCAGTGGTGAGGGACTAACTCTAGTGGCTTTTGGAGCCCAAGTGCCTTTCGAGTTTGGGGTTTGTGGAGATTTCTGTAGGAAGGCTGCAACAGGAAAATCCCAGACCCACTCAGAGGGCTTGGGGGGAGCAAAGGAAAAGTCAGCTCCCACTTACAGCTCTGGCGGATGCTGGTGCCTGCAAAGCCGTGGGCAAGCAGCTATTTTGTGAATTTGTGTTCCAAAATTTGAACACCAGATGATGTGTTAATCTAGTTAATCTTTATCAGTCCAAAACTGGGAGTCAAATATTAGGGCAAGAACCTGAAAGATCAGAGAACAGGGAGCAACCGCCTGTTGCTTCCTACCTCCCCCATTCTACCTTACTACTTCCTGACTCCTCTCTGTCTACAGTCCTCCAAAACTATGGTCTGTAGTGGTTAGTCTGCCCTCTGACTCAAAGCAAGCTTTATTTGTCAGAACACAATCAGAATACCACACAACAGAGTCCCTGATGGGGAAGATGAGGAAGCCTTGGCCAGATGTCCAAGGTCACCCAGCTTAGAAGTGATGGCATTTGCTTCAGGATCAATCATCTATATCATTCAATGCCTTTTAAAAACATTTAAAGATTTTATATATTTGTGTGTGAGGCATGGCTGTGCAATACACACCTGTGGATCTCTGAAGGGATCTGTACTCACTTTCAACCATGTGAGTCCTGGGGATGCAACTCATGTTCAGACTTGGCAGCAAGTGCCTTTATTCCCTGAGCCAACTTGCCTGCCCAAAGCCTCTCCTATTAGCTGTTATGTTTACTGATTCCTAGTTGACTCAACACTTGAAAGCTACATCATTGGCTATAAGCCAGATACTGGACTAAACACCTATGCAGGGCAAGATTATCATTCCCTTTTTACAGGTGAGAATTTAGAGGGCAGGGAATATAGCCCAGTTGCTAAAGTGCTTGCCTAGCAAGCACAGAGCCCTGGGTTCCACCTCTAGATCTCATAAATTGAGTGTGGTGGTGCACACCTGTAATCCCAGCACTTGGGAGGAGGAGGAGGTAGGAGGATTGTCTTAAATCATATAATTTTAGAAGCAGTAGTTCATATTTGTAGTTTTTTAAGGACTAATATATTTGTTTATTGATTTTTATGTATAGGAATGAGTTGGCATCCTGTGTCTTTTTCAGCCACTCACCACCATGTCTTTAGAGACTGGATCTCTCACTAAACATGGCGCTCACCTTTAGCTAGCCTGACTGACAAACAAGTTTTGAGGATCCATGCTTCCCACTTCCCAATAGAGTTACAGATGCCCCAACCATACCTTGCTTTTTCCATGGTCTCTGGGCATCCTAGGTCAGGCCCTCAGGATTGTATGTCAACTGCTTTACCAACTGTGCCATCTCCCCAGCCCACAACAACTAATGTTCTTATTACAAGTGTGTTCCAGTGATTTGGACAACTCAATGTCCTTTTGTGTGCTTTATCTCTTTTTTTTTTTGAATTAAGAAATTTTTTTTATTTATTTGTGCTTTGTCTCTCAACCCTGAGTGTGCACCTATGGGAGATGCACTGATGTCTTTTGGTTATAAATCACTGGGTGCAGGGTCATGGGCTCCACTCAGCTTCCTTTCTTGTTTCTCTTCAGACAAAAACAACCACTGTGAGGCCTTCATCTGCAACTGTGACCGCCAGGCAGCCATCTGCTTCTCCATGACTCCATACATCAAGTACTACAAAGGCAATGGCTGTTAGACTTGTCACCTCAGTTATTGCCTACACCATCCCTGCCTGCCTGGTTGTCTTCACTACACACTGTGCCCTCTAATAAAGCACCTATGGAAAGAGCTTGGCTATGATGATTGTAGTCTTTGTCTACCAAACATAAATATATCCTCAGAGAACATCATTCTGTCTATCCCTGGAAGCTGAAATATAATGGGTAAGATGTTTCCGGGAAACAAGCACCTTGAAGTGTCATTTATGAGCCCAGCCAGGACTTCCCCCCCAGCATTTTGGGATGCAAGGCAGAGGCAGAGGTAGGGGAAGGCAGATCTCTTGAGTTCAAGGCAAACCTGGTCTAAATAGCCAGTTCAAGGACAGCCATGACTATTATACAAAGAAACCTTGTCTTGAAAACAAAACAAAGAAGAAGAAGGAGAAGGAGAGAAGGAGAAAGAGGAGGAGGAGGAGGAGGAGGAGGAGGAGGAGAAGAAGAAGAAGAAGAAGAAGAAGAACTCAGTCTGAGACTCATAGAGGTGTGGGGAGGACTGCTGTGGAATATGGTCTTAAGATATGCTACATTTGATTATGCAGTGGGCTTTTTTTTTTTCTCGAGACAGGGTTTCTCTGCATAGCTTTGGTGCCTGTCCTGGATCTCATTTTGTAGACCAGGTTGGCCTTGAAATCACAGAGATCCGCCTGGCTCTGCCTCCCAAGTGCTGGGATTCAAGGAGTGTGCCACCACTGTCTGGCTGGAACATTTTTTTTTAATGATGCAAAATTTGTTGCATTAAGCTGTTTTACTTTAACTGTCTAAAACACCTGATTAGTCTAACTAAGAGCTTAATGGCCAATAGTGAGGCAGGGAAAGGATAGGTGGGGCTGGCAGGCAGAGAGAATAAATAGGAGCACCTATCTCCAGAGATGAAGGAGGAACAAGAAAGGAGGAGAGATCATGAAAAGGGCCAGCCACCAGTTACACAGCAAGCCGTGGAATAAGAAATAAAGGTGTGCAGAAATAGAGAAAGATAAAAGCTCAGAGAAAAAAGACAGAGAGGTTACTATAAGCCAAGAAAAGCTGGCTATAAATAAGCCAAGATAACACCGGGCATTCATAAGAAAGAATAAGCCTCCCTGTGTTTATTGGGGAGCTAGGAGGTGAGCCACCAAAAGACTAAAAGAGTAAAGCAACCAACTCCAGGGGACAGAAAAGGGGAAAGAGAGGGGAGAGATGAGGCAGGGATAGTGACAGGAAAGAGGGAGGGATGGGAAGGAAAGACAGAGGTAGGAGGGGAGAGAAGAGAGGAAGACACAGTGTCACATGGGCATTAAAGGAACATCTTGGCCATAAAAATATTGGACTCACAGGGGTGAGGGGGTTGGTACACACCTTTAATTCCACCACTCGGGACCAGAGATAGGCAAAGCTCTGTAAGTTCAAGGCCAGCCTACTCTACAGATCAAGATCCAGGAGAGGCTCCAAAGCTCTAGAGAAACCCTGTCTCAAAAAAAAAAAATCAAATCAAAACAAAACAAACAAACAAACAAAACCCCAAACTGGATTCCAAGTGCTTCTGCTGTGCCCTCTTCATAGGAAGTTGGATATAGGAAACCAAACTGGACTGACTGTAAATGACCTGAAGGCAGGATTACAGCCGGGTGACCTTCCAGTCTTCACTGAGCCTAAACACACGCAACAGGATAATTGTCCTTCCAAAGTACACAGCAGCCTAACTTTTTACAACAAACAGAACAGAACACATCCTCCTTTCTACCTTTCTATACTGCCTTATCCCAGAGGTGAAGCCAGGTAAATCTCCAGTTCTCTGGTCAACCGGATTTAGGAATAAGATGTCTCATTGGTCTAAGGCTGTGTGGTTCTCAGTCTCTCTTTTCCTTGAATGAACAGCTACCCAGTCCTCTGACTTTCCACCCCCATCCCCATCCCCACTTGAGTCCCAAAGCTCAAGACTCGCCCCTGCCAAGGTCATGCCTGGTGAGCAAACTCTAGCTAAGTGTCAGTGACTGGTAGTAGCTGGTAGTGACTGTCCAGAGTTCTGCTGGAAGGGTAGGGGGATCTTGAGCATGGAGACAACCAAATCAACTCACCCCCTGCATGATTTTTATCCAGGAATGAGGTGAGAAGTGGGGAAAAGGAGGTGCTGGAGAGCTAAGGGGGAGGGCCCATGAGAAATGACCTGACACAGAGGCCAGAAGGCATTGGGCCAGCAGACGCTGTTCACCAGCCACCATATGGTTGCTCAATAATTGAACCCATTCTTTTGGAGAGCAGAAACTGCTTAAGTGCTGAGCCATCTCTCCAGCCCCTGCAATGGTTGATTGTCAGCTTCACACACTGCATCGGGAGAGCCTCAGCTGAAGGATTGCCTGCATCACATTGGCCTGTGGGCACATCTGTTGGGCAATTGCTTTGTGTGTGTGTGTGTGTGTGTGTGTGTGTGTGTGTGTGTGTGTGTGTGTGTGTGTGTGTGTGTGTTTTGGATTTTACTTTTTTTTAAGAAAGGGTTTCTTTGTGTAGCCCTGGCTGTCCTGGAACTCACTCTGTAGACCAGGCTGGCATCAAACTCAGATATTCAACTGACTATGGCCCCTGAGTGCAGACATTGAGAGGTGCACAGCCAACACCATCTGACTATCTTCCCAGGATTCAAATGGAGTTTGTGGACTAGTAAGACCCAAGCTAGGATGCAAGCCTGTAGACCTGAGTGTGATTCTGGAATGTACTTAAAAGTTGGAAGAGAGACCTGACTCCACAGAGTTGATCTCTGACCTCCACATGTGCACACAAGTGCTCTCTTTATTTCTCTCTCTCTCTCTCTCTCTCTCTCTCTCTCTCTCTCTCTCTCTCTCTCTCTCATAGATAGATATATCAATATTTCACAAACTCACATCAATTAATTGGTTAATTAATAGAAGATTGAATTAGTAACTGGATCTACCTCAATGGCTGTGTCAGGTTCTTGGGACAGACTTAGCATGTAGTTTAGACAGTTAACATGGAGGATTGTTGCAGACAGCTACTCCTGCCTGGGGCCACCCATCAATATCTGCATACCTCAGTCCCAACTCTGGAAACAATGTCTAGATCTTCTTATTACCTCAAAGCATCCCTGGGGGAGGGACTTGGCACTTTACCAGTCACTGACTTGAGCTGGTTGGGGTGTTGAGCCAGCCCTCTCTCTGTGCCTCTGGGATAGCACTGATTCAGGCTCTGTCACCATCTACAGCAGCTCTGCAGGTCGGGACTGTGTGTGTAAGGGTGCACACATTCTGCTTCTGTGCTACACACACAGTAGTCACAGGCCCCGTGTGCTGACTGGACACTGTCAGAGCACAGCTACAGGACTCTAATGAGAAGTCACTGAGTTCTCCCGTCACTCAGGATGAAACTCCTTCTTCTGGTCGCCCTGCTCACAGGTAGGACCCTTGTCCCTTCTGAGTGCCCCCCATGTCCCTTGTCTTCAATGCACAGCTTCTCAATGGTCACACCTGAATTTCTGGTTTGGGGTTCCCTGCTCACCCCCATGTCCTTAACAGCTGTCACCTTTGCCCTCTAGATCTGAACTCAGATGACTCCTTTAGAAAAGTCCACCACAGTCACTGACCCAAGCAAAGAAAGCCCCTGCTGCCTCTACCATATTGCCCTGTCACCCATTTCCCTGGCCATAAGGTGCCCTGGCAATTTTATTTTTCTAATTCTTTTCAAAAATAATCATTTTCATGTGTATGAGTGTTTTGCTTGCATGTGTGTCTGTGAATTGAGTGTGAGCAGTGCCTACAAGGGACAGAGGAGGGGTCTGATCCTCAGAACTAGGGTCATAGACAGTTGTAAGGTGCCATGTGGCTGCTGGAACTGAGCCTGGGTCCCACAGAAGCTCAGCAAGTGCTCCTGACTGCAGAGCCAACTCTCCAGCCCTCATTATTATTTTATTTACATGATCTTATGATGTGGCTCAGGATGTTTTCCAACTCAACATTATAGAAAGACTTGCATCAACCTTCCAGTGCTTAGGATTGTATACATGCCTGACTTGTGTCTGCAATTTTGGCTTTTTATTTTTGGATTTATAAGACAGAGTTTCTCTGTGTAACAATGGCTGTCATGGAACTCACTCTATAAATCAGGCTGGTTTTGAACTCAGATATCCACCTGTCTCTGCTTCCAGAGTGCTGGGATTAAAGGTGTGCACCAATACCCCCTGACAACCTTGAACTTCTGATCCTCTTGCCTCAGCCTCCAGAGTTCTGGGATTATACAGTGTGTGTTCCACTGTGCCTGGATTCTCCTGCATTTTAATGGTGACTGAGTATTCCACTGCAGACTGAATCCTGGTCTTTTACCTACTCCTCAGCTGATGATCAGTTTATTGTGTCAAATGCTGACATTACAATGATGATCTGACCATTATCCTTGTCTATGAGCTGTGCATGGCCATACAACAGATTCCTTCTAATTCTTCCAGTGTAAA